TTACATGATAAAATAAAAAAAACCCATAAATAGTCAAAATCAAGTCTTGATAAGAGCTTGTAATCAAATATTTAAAATATAAAAATTTAAAATTATACCACTTCAAATTTGGTTTTATCTACAATAATAGTTTACTATTTTAGAATAAATATGCGTAAATCCGTTAAATAATTTGTATTTTATCATGTAAAATAGATTTATGATTTTTTTATGTGACTGACTATTCTTTTCTTTTTCTATATGTTAGTTCCATAAGTACTTATGGATTTCATACATCAGGTAACATAGAAAACTTTCTTTTCGTTCTTATTAAAAACGCATATATATATATCTATATATTAAATATTATTGTTTGAAATAAAAATTCTATATCAAAATAGAAATAAGAACTATCTTGCACTACATTAAACAAACAAATATTTTTCTTTTATTTTTAAAAAAAAATCTTCTCATCATTTTACTCATCAAAATTTTCCATCTATATATTAGATAAAGAAAAAATTTGAAGATAAAATTTTGTATTACTTCTCCAAAAAATAGTCTCTTTTTTAATGACACCCTCTATTCTACAATTTGGTTTCGGGAACGGTTTATTTCTGCCATATAAACAGAAAAGAATAGTGTATGTATGTTTTTTTTTTCGTCGATATAGAGAATTTTTTTTTTTTGTTTTTCTATTATATGATAAACTACTTTTAATAATTTCAACAAGATCCATTCTATGTTATTATAAACATCTATTTTTAAGCCATCTAGTCGTCGGAATTCAATAAATAGATGTATCAGTTTGTGGTGATAAAAATTAATGACTCTTTATAATTAGGTGTATGTGTTTAATGATACGTACTTCTCTATCATTAAATTATTCAAAATTTTTCTTATATTCAACATAATATTAGTATATATATTATTTTTCTTCTCTTTTTTGCGTCTAAACTTAGTCTCTAGAAAAACACATAGTTCATATTTCCAGTTCGAAGATTTAACGGAAGTATGGTGTTTTACGCTAATACTAATGTTGATGTTGTTTTGTTTTTTACCAAATGTTTTCTAAATAAATCTCTTTTATAAGTTTCTATACACGTCTATAGTGTCTATTTTTTTAAAAAAATGTTTACCTGTATGTTTGTTCATCTTTCCTTCTATTTTATGATTTTTTTAGTTTTTGCTTTTGCTTTTTTTTTATATTAAAATACATCTTCGTTTGATTCTGCTTTTTGATAAAAACAAAAAAAAATTTTATCCGTTTTTTTTTTTTTTTTCATTATTCACTAATTCAAATATATTTTTTACAGAAATTTTACATACCTACAAATATTTGTCAAATTTGTAGATAAATATATTTAGTACAATTTTTTATTTGACTATAAAAAAAGAGAATTTGTAATTACAGACATGATTATTTTTTGTATATGGAAAATCTCTTAATTTTACTCTTAGAAATTTGAGATATATTTATCGGTAAACAAAATGAAATTTTCTTTGAATGAAATATTTGTATTCTTTGTCTCGTTGATTTTATTAGCAGTTTATATGAAAATTTGAAAATGTTTAATACACATGTGACATCCATTTCAATTTTCTACATCGATCTTTCTTTTGACTTCGAAAAATAATTTTTTATTATTTGACACGTGATTAATCGATAAATTAAAGAATTTTTTATTAGCATTTTTTGCATGTTTTTCGTCTTCTCTTCAATTCGATATAATTTACATGTTAACTTTTTTATTTATTTATTTAGAGTATAGTGGTTACTCTAGTCCAACTTGTCAATATTACATACACAATTCACAACCACCATCAAGGCATTCACCATCATCCCTATCTCAATCTGACGATAATCATGAAATATTATTCGATAATGATTCTATTCGATGGCAACCGTCATCTCATTTAACAAATGGACATTGTTCAAACGGTTGTATACCACAACAACAAAATCATTCAGAATTAGCTTATAGTCAATCAACAACAACAACAACAACAACAACAACGAAATTGTCTGATTTTTTACCATTTACAACTGTTGAACAATATGAAGATGTAAATGGATCGAGTTCATGTGATTCAATAGATTCAGGAGGATTATTTATTGAAAATAGTTCATTATCAAAAAATACTAATCAAAGTCATAATTGTACAAATATAAATATACAAAATAGTGAGAATAACCATTTATCAGATACATTATTGACAGGTGAGTACCACTTTTGAAAAATTACAAATATTACACAGAGTGAATTAATGTTCTTTCACGAAAAGACACATTATTCAAGTTTTAAACATTTTCAATATCTAAATGATTGTGATAACTAGTTGATACATAAATGATTGTCTCAAAAATAGACTTCAAATTTGTCATTCCATAGAAACTATTACTATAAATATAATATTGTACGATTGATAAAATGAAAAACTTCTGAGAAATTATAAAACTTTCCTTGTAACATCTTTATCGTTTAGATATGATTTCTACTTCTTCGTTACCTATGTCGGATACGTGTACATACATTCAATTGGAAAAACAAAATTCACATTCGACAGCTGATTATGATAACATTGAAAATATGACCAATTCAGAGTTACAAGTGAATGAAGAAGATTCTCATATTAGTATGAGTGATAAACAACATCAACAATTTTCTTCTGCTCTCTCTTCATCCTTCACACCATCACGTTTAACGCAAGGTCAAATATTTCAAGAACTAGATCAAAAAACAAAACAAGAAATTGATGAAATATTAAAAAGTTTAGAAGAAGATGAAGATAATCACGAAAATCATAGTAAGTATAAAGTACATACTATTTATTTCGAAATAGAGAGGAACAAGTGGTTTTTGATTAATTTTTTGCTGAGAAGCGATGGAAACTTGTACTCTTCATCAATATCTAGTCATGTCTTGGGCTAGGCGTGCAGCGGTTATTTCATCGAGATCCTTGGAGACAGTAGATTTAAAAATCGGAGAAACTTTTTAAAATTTTTTAGAGCCGACAGTTTTGTACACAAATATTTGCTCTACAAAATAAGACATTGCAAACTCTCTCACGATGGTTGGTCGATGAGATATGACTTTTTCTCTAAAATATGACTGGTTATTAACTGGGCCTATTTTCCCTTATTAAACCTGAAGGAATGACCTACCGAACCTCAAATACATCTAGAACATAAGTTTTTGATCATTCTGATTCCCGTGGGAATGTTTGTTTTCACGAAAAATTTAAAACATCAGAGAAATTCGTAACTCACCCAATACCCGTTCAAAATATTTCGTAACTTCAAAGTATACTCTATTTCAACTACCTTCCAGGCTGATAAATTCCATAGTATGATAAATTACAAAAAAAACTTTAGTCTTAAATAGCTTTTTGAAAAATTTAAGTAATATAAACAGATTCTCTTCGCAGTTTGAACAACATTATCATGTGAAGCAATATCATGTGAACACTGTTTAAAATGTTTTGAACGAGTTTTTGAGTGAGGTACGAATTTCTCTGATGTTTTAAATTTTTAGTGGAAACAAACATTACTACGGGAATCAGAATGATCAAGAACTTATGTTCTAGATGTATTTGAGGTCCTAAAGGTCATCCCACGTTGGTGCCTGCGTTCAATAGAAATCCAATGCCATCCCTAAACGAGTGAAGATTCACCCCCATTTTGAAGAGAACACTAGAAGCTATGTCTATCTACTCATGCAAAAAAGCAAATATATTGGAGTTTCAAACTTTAGAGATCCAATCGATTTTCTGAAGATTCTCTCAAAACTCGACACATTTTTGAACCTCTCTTGATATAGAACGACGTGCCCAAGTCATGACCAGAGATTGACGAAGGCTTCAAGTCTCCATCGCTTTTCAGTCAAAAATTATTCATAAACCAATTTGTTCTTCTCTAATTCGAAATGGAAAGAAGCGATGTACGTACACAGAAAGTAACCTTTCTTTCGATAAAATATCTGTTATGGATTAAACTGTATGTAAGAAAGATGAGAGGACAACTTTCTATGAATTACACATTGCTTCAACTGCAATTTATTAAAAAGTCTATTTCACCTAAAATTGGGTTACTATGTCCAATACACGATCACTTGTTAGACAAAAGTTGTTATTTAAATTTTTTCTGGTTGAACTATTTTTCAAAAACGTTTTCATTAAAGTCTTTTTGAGCTTTGATCGACTTTATATCATAGTATGTAGCAACGTTAGAGAGACAATAAAACAGGTTTCAATCTCATTTATAGACTTGCAACAGAGAAGATGCTTCTCATTATAAATATTCTTTGTCATGTCCATTTAGCCCTCAGTTAAATGATACGAAAAATATAGTCGGATTGTTTTTTATTCAGTGTGTTTTTCCGTTTATGTAATGATTTCTAACTTTCTAACTTTCATTTTTCTTCTGTAACATACTGATAACTCTTGATGCAATGTAGCCCTAATTCTGTTCTATCTATGATATGAATTTAAAGGAATAGCTATCAATGATTACTGAAAGACAGGTATTTTACGTTCAAGGCTTCTGAAAATAAGACTCTGGGATATGAGGTCTTTTCCAAAAAAAATTCCAAACTCATTCTGAGAACATTATTTCGACTTCAAACTCGCAGAAATACTCTTTGACGACTATAGACTATCCAGTTAAAGTATAAAAGTTAACTATAGTGTATTTCCTGAAATCTATTGCGAACGAGCACTCACTATTGAAATATACGTAGAGAGGGGAGGATGAGGAAGTAAGAGTCACTCTTTCTACTGTAGAATATGCATTCAACCTACATCATAATCACAAAAACCTATGAAGGGGAGAAACGCAGGTGAAGCTTTGTCAGGAAGACTATAATATATACGCACTTTTCGCGAAGAGAGAAATTTTCGATCAATAAAATTTTTTGCTAGAAAAAAAATCAGTTTCAAGTATGTTATTCAATCCACTTTCGTCTGCTGATCTCAAATATGTCAGTGATTTTGCTTGGAAATTTATGGAAAAATGTAAGTGAAATAATGAGGATGAAAAAGTATTGTGCGTATTCTTTCTGACAAAGCTAGCTTTACCTGTGTCTCTCGTCCGCATAGGTTTTCATGACTATGATGTACGTTGAATGCAGATTCTACAGTAGAAAGAGTGACTCTTACTTTTTCATCTTCCCCTCTCTACGTATATTTCAATAGTGAGTGCTCGTTCGCAATAGATTTTAGGAAATACACTATAGTTAACTTTCATACTTTAACTGGATAGTCATCAAAGAGTATTATAGTCATCAAAGAGTATTTCCTGCGAGTTTGAAGTTAAAATGATGTTCTCAGAATGAGTTCTGACTTTTTTTTTGGAAAAGACCTCATATCCCAGAGTCTTATTTTCAGAAGCCTCGAGCGTAAAATAGCTGTCTTTCAGTAACCATTGACAGTTATCCATTTAAATTTATATTATAGATCAAAGAAAATTAGGGCTACATTTATGAAAACGAAAAAATTTTCATTTCACTTGCATCAAAAGTTATCAATATTTTACGGAAGAAAAATGAAAAGAATCTATCTCACGAAGTATCGTGCAAAAGAGGCTCGTACTGGTGGGATGATCAGCATTCAGCTATGATCACACAAAATTAGAAGTCCATAGTTATCATGGTTTTTGAGTTACAGGGATGCTGTTACTGTTGCGAAGTACTGTAATCAAAAACTTGATTAAATATTGTTAACTTTATTCATTTTAGCCTTAACAACATCCGAAACCGTGAATAAATCCGTTGATTTACCATCTGCTTGTCGATTGGCGAAACGTTTATATTTATTAGATGGTTTTAAATCCACGGATGTTGTGAGACATTTATGTAAAAGGTATTTCATGTTAGAACATAGATAGTCCCTAAGGGATTATTTAAATAATAATCATAAAGAAAATCGGTTTAATGGATAGTTTTATGAAGAGAAGATAGTAAAAAAAATATATATCAATGAGAAAAAGCCTGGGAAAAGAGAAAAAAAAAAATCTATTTTTATCTCGTGGTTCTTTTCCTTGTATATTCGTATGTGAGTCATCTACGCTTCTATGAAAGATCAATCAAAAAAACATCTTTTAAATAGTTAAATAGACATATCGATAGAGAGAGAGAAAGAGAGAGTGAGAGAGACTGTATAAATTATACTTATTCGATTGCAGTTAATTTCCATGTTTGAATTTATTTCCTGTTTATATACATATATGTATATGAAAAACTATATATGCACTTGAATAACCAACGATTTCTTCGTTATTTCCCCTGGAGAAAAAAATAAAAACAACCCCAACCACCCCCTTTTTTAATGTGCCCGTTTTCATTACCCCCCCAAAGCAAAAAAATCCCGGGTGCCTGCCTTTAAAAAATATTTTTTTTTTTTTTTTTTTTTTTTTGTTTGTGTTTTTCTTTGGATTAAACGAATAGACTATAGTTATTAAGATTGTGCGTGTGTGAAGGAAATGAAATAGATGTATTGTAAAGTTTACTTTCTTTCCATTGAAACAAAAAACCAAGAGTTTTACTATAGTTTGTCACTATAATATTCAACATTTGTAAAATGCAACTCTTTTTGAATAGTCCTTGTAGAAAGGAAAATGGTTATTTTTCTATCGAGTATGCTAAATTATCTATCATTTTATATGATCAGAATCTTTTATAAACTAAATTAATTATATTGTTACCTGTTACTAAAAGAAAATATTCTTTTAGTTATAATAATGGTATCTATATATAAAACTAGAATTTCCATAAAAATTCAACTTGATATAGGCCAAAAAAAAAAGAAGAAGGAACAATAAAAATATAAATATTTTTATTCTTGATCTAGAATATTTATTAACGTAATGTGTTAATATATTGTGACTCTATTTCTTGCAAATCTTAACTACAAAATTCTAATCATCAAATTTGTTATTTTGTTTGATACGAAGATTATTTTCAACTTTATGTTTATCTATTAAGATTTAGTGTTATTAAAATAATGTTCAATTGTTTACATGTTATACATTTGATAATGAATGTATAATTCTAGTTATTTTGACTAATAATTTTTGATTAATTATTTAATTCTTATGTTGACATTATTTTTGTTACAATTTTCAATTTACCTTGTTGATTTCTAATATATTTCTAAAAACAAAATATGCCTTGAGGTTTTTCAAGGTCGTCTATTGCAACTATTGTCTGTAATAGACACAGACACAAATAAAATAAAAAACTCAGAGAAGAAAAAAACTAAATATGTGTATCTGGTTTCGATGTTATTCTTCCTATTTCATTAACGCAACTGTTGAGTATAATATGTTCTTTTCTCATTTCCTTTAATATTTTCCAGTTTTTATTTCGCTAGATGGATTTACTATGAATTTTTTTTCTTCTTCTTCTCCTTTTATTAATTTGATTAGAATATCTATCTTTTTCGAACATAAGCTCCCCAAAAAAAAAAAAACTTTTGGTATTTTATATCTTTCTCTTTCTCTTCTTCTTCTTCTGATCGTTTGTTTCGTGCATATAAATGACATCTGATTATTATTGCGTAATGTAAAACATACACTAAACCTCTTTTCAACAGAAAAATAAAATAAGATTTTACTCTCACTGTGTTCTTACTCTACACTTGATTAAAAAAAAATGAAATAATTGATGATGAGATCAAAAAAACTTTTTCCAGTTTTTTTTTTTTTTTTTTCTATTTCTCCGGAGGCATTTTTTTTTTTTTTTTTTATGTCTGTTCAAAAATTAAATCCGATCATGCCAAAACTAACAACTCTATATACATTTGATTAAAAAGTAAAAAGGAAAAAGATATCTGTCTTTTTCACGTGTTCAAAAAACAAAAAATTTATTAATATTATTTTTTTGGTTGCAGATAATATTTCATTTACGAAAAAAGAAAAACGATTGCTTATACTTGTGATTTTTTTTTTCTATATCGATGAGAAAAGAAAATATTTTTATTGAGAAACGAGGAGCTACTGCTTGAATTGCCACTTGTTTTGTATCAAACATGTTTGGGAATGTGTTTGTTGGCTTGTTGTTCTGGTTGCGAAAAGTAAGTAATTGTCTTCTCATTTTATTTGTTTATTCTAACGTTATGAATTAATAATTTTCTATCAAGTTTAAATAGATATAATGTTTTATTCTTCTTATAAAAAGATTTATTTAAAATTTTATCATTAAGATTATTTCACTGTTATTTAGAAAGAGAGTTTTATTTGTATAAAAGAAAGGTAAACTATTAGTTTATTGCACGATTCTATTTGATGGGGATTTCTACTCGTAATAATTTATCGTTACTATACCACGTTGTTGGTTGAAATTTTAGTAGAGATTAGCTACACTAAGAATCACAAAATATATGGATAGTTATCAAATTTTTCAATATCAAAACTCAATCGACTTTTATTTTTGAAAAATAAAACGAATGTAGACACCTGTATAAAATAAAAACAGAGATCACAAATGGTGAAATCGATCTTTCTTCCCATTATATGATGTTTTAAGAAAAGTAGTGTTTACTTGAAAAGTTGTTTTAATGGGTTTTCCATAAAATCTTAATATTAAACTTTAGTTGTCTTTTTTCTAAGGTCATAACGTTCTTTTAGCCTGTAGCATCGCAAAAAAAAAGGAAGTAAAACATAAAATGAACAAATATTTTATATTCATATAGACAGAAAAATCTTTAAATGCGTATAAGTATCATTTTTAAGTATATTAAATTATAATAGTATACTTTAATCATTGCCACATGTTTCTATGGTTTTGAATATGAAAATTTTAAAATGAAATTATAATGATTGACCTATAAGAACTTCTAAAATAAAATTGTATTATATGATGATAGATGTTATTATTTATTCATTTCACCTTGAACAAATCTTTTTTGTTTCTTATTTTGGATCTAATGCTTATAAAATATAATTTTCGTGAAAGAAAAAAAAAATATATATATATATATATATGTACATGGCCATTAAGCTGAAATTTATCGTTTGTTTTCGAGAAACCGATTGACAACACTCGAACTTGTCAGAGTTTTTTTCTACTATTTTCTTCACAAAAACAAAATATATGTTAAACAATAAATAAAAAAAAAAAAAAAAAAAAAACAAAAAAAAACGCTAAACGTATTACAAGTGTTGTTGAAAAAAAAAAATTTTTTTTAAACAATAAAAAAATGAAGAAGAGACAGCGTGGAGTAGAAAAATCCTAGTAAAAGAACTAAAAGAAAAACCTTGAAGACGATAGTCACTATATAGGAGAGATAGAGAGATTATCAACATCATTAAATTTTTGTTATCATCAAGATTGTATCATATTGAAATATTTGAAATTGTACTTTCTCATGATGTTTCAATTGATTAATTACTGAAACAATTTATTTGTTCTTTGAGACATTTACTAAATATTTTGATGATGATTTGTTTTTAGAAGAAGAGAAACATCAGCGACTCGCTTTTTAAGATAGAATAGATAAAAAATGTCATCACGTTTTAAACTCACACGTGCACGTGTATATTCATGTTTGTTTCTTAAGTTTTATTGTATCAGTAGACATCTGTTAACTGCTGTATAATAATAAAATTGATAACTATAGTTTGAGATTTCATTTCTTATATCATGTTTTCGAAAAAGTAGATCAAAAAGAATGAGTAGACAAATGACAATGATCTCTTCAGCACAGTAGTCACGACATAAATGTAGAGTCGAGTCATTCATTAAAAATTCAGCTGATAAAAACAAAACAAAAAAATTATTTTTCTTTTTTTGTCATCTTATTCATTTTTATAATCATCACTGTGACATACAACATTTGTTGAACACGATTCCGTTGATTAACAAAGACAAGGACTTTCCACTCGTAGATATAAACAAAGTCTTTTTACATAAAATTTCTCAAAAACTCACTAATTATTTGTTAGAAACTTTCAATTTTGCTATTGATTTTTTTTATTCTCTAGAAATTCTCTATCTGACTCTATTGATTGAAAAGATACATTGAATAGGAAACATGTGTTGTCTATATTTTCTTTTAACAAGTCTATATCATTGTCTCTAAGAACTTACAGATACTATTTCATCTTATTGAATATAGAAACACATTTATTCCCTTGATTCTGAATATTGATCTCATTTATCAGGTATTGAAATCAGATGTCGGAAATGACTAATTGAACTAAAATAATAATACTTTATTATTTAAAAAAAGAAAAGAAAAGAAAAGAAAAAAAGAAAAGAACAATCTAAATAAGAAATAGAAGAAAAAAAAAAAAAAGTTATAGAAAATATTTTATATTCATTGTCCTTCAACTTATTGTTAATCTTAAATGAATGCATTCCAGGTGATTATATTCGTTCATTCTAAACGCTTTAGCATGTCTCTTCTCGATTTAAAATCGACAATAAAATAATTGAAAAAAAACAATAAAAAAACTGATTATTTGATAAAAACTAAGCTGATGAAAAAGAGAAAATTAATTTTTCTTTTTTTACATAACTTTTTTATTATTATTATGTCTTACAGTGGTTAAAAACTAATCTACTTATCATTATACTATGTAATCTACATAGAGTCAATAGTCATCTGAATTAACATATGACTATTTTTTATATCAGAATTTCTAAATGGTAAATTGTTGGTCTTAATAGAATTTTTGCAATTTTAAAATTAATTTTATATACTTCAACAACAGAATAAGTTTTTACACACTTTTTTTTTTCCTGTTATTGAAGTGTATAAAATTGATTTTAATTATGTCTGTTTGTTTTTTTTTCTGCCCGATGAAAATAAAGAAGAAGAAGAAGAAGGAGAAAAAAGCAGATTTTCAAAATAAAAATAGTAGACTGTAATAAAAATGTATAATAAATAAGAAATGACACTTAAAATTTGAATGGATACATGCTGATATTGGTGAATCTGATCTGTTTTATATCAATCTCATTATAAAGAAATTATGATTGAAAAAATGACATATGTCAACTATTAATAATATTTTTTGATAAGAATATCAATTTTCTACAGTCATACTAGAGATAGTTGACAGAATATTGACATATATATAGTAGAAAATTTTTTTTTTTGAAGACTGCATGTATATTGTATTTTACTGGCACAAACAAATCATTATATTTCCTTTTGTGAATAAATGATAGAATCAACTAATTATTTACGATAAATGTGTATAAAAATATTTTATTTGATAAAAGAAAATTTCGATCTAGAAAACTATTTCATTTTTTTTTGTTTTTGAAAATGTATGTACATTACATATATTTTTAATGTTATCAAATCAAGTGTGAAAAAGTATCTTGAAACAAAAATTCTGTTTAGATACGTGTATATCAATATTACCATTTTTTTTGTTTTCTAATCAACTCAATTCGAATTTAGAATCTTATGTGCGTTGTTGCTGTTGCTGGTGTTGTTGGTGTTTTTACTAACCGTATAGATGCCAATTTTAAATGTTTTTTTACTGAGTATAAATTACAATACTCTGAAAGAAAAAGAAGTTGATTGACCCTTTTCTTATTTCTATTATGACATTTATCAGATAAAATCTTTCTCTGATCTACTTTGAGCTTATATGGCTTCTAATATAAGACAGCATACTTCTGACTATCTCATCTGAGTGGGAAAAAAATGTCTTTTGCAACGTGTAATCAATAAAAAAGTTAACCGCTGTAAAATGTCTGATTTTGTTTGATAACATGCCCAAAGTCATAAATATTGTATTTTTTTAAGGTCTGATCTGTTGTCTGTCATAAAAAACAAAAAAAAGTTCTGAAATTACGAGATAAGAAACAGAATGAGTTAAAGGATATGTCACTGGCAACAGTTTTTCATTAAATATTTGATCTATTGATATACTGTGGACATGATACAAGACAAATATTCGTTTTCTACCAAGTTAAGATAATCTAAAAAATTAACCAATAATCCAGTAAAAACAGTTTGACAAGCTGGAAAACAAGATATTTATTATAACAAGATATTAGTATTATTTAGTTTAGTTTTATTTTTAGAGTATTGATACAATTATCATATTTTCAGCTATTTTAGATAAGTTTTTTGCTGTACAGATGAAAATCCATGACTGGTTATAGATCTTCTGAAAGAGCAAATGTTGAAATTGCACACATTACACATGGTGACTAGTTGACAATAACATTTCAAAGTCGATAAGCAAACTGAAATATCTAACATATTTTTACAACACTGTATACAAGTAATATTTTGCATAGCAAAGAAGTCTTAGTTGTTCGAGTTGCTGTTCATTCATCACTAACATGTTGTAAACAACCAGGACAATGATGTCTATTTCCACTATTTTTTTTCACTTTTTATATCTTCAATGTGATACTGCATAGTACAGAAGTAGTACTCAAGTGTATAGTATTCAACGGTGATTGAAACCCGTTTCATGGGACGACGGACTATGTCTAAAGCTGATAACATTCCACTTTCAAACAGGAATCACAGTCTGTTTATCTTTCAAACGTTCTTCTTCAACTGTAAATTTCAGTCCTTTCTCTCAAGCTCAACGACCCATTTTTTGTTTCATTTCTCTGGCATTAGTAGCAAAAAACTTTTTAAAAACGTATTACCTCATTCTTAAAGTCTCAAATTATAGGATAGACGCCGCTGACGCAATTTCGTTATTCTGTAATTAATTGAAAAAATTCTATTTATTCATTTTCAAAAGGAGATCTATTTTTAGATTCTAATTGAACGTAATAATATGCAAGAAAATTTTAATTAGAATAAATATTTATGCGTCTAATTGTATCATTTTAATTAAATTGGCTAAAAAATTTTTATCAGTCAAACAAATCTAGAGTAATATAGAAAAGATCTTGACCTTTTTTTCGTCTCATCGTTATTTGAAACACATCTAGTTCAAAATAGACTAGATAGCAATTTCTTCTTCTCTTCTCTCTCTTTCGCTTTATTTTTTTTTTTCTTCCATTTGAGTAACATATTTTACACATCGATACCTTCGTATATAAATAAAATTTATTTTCAATTTAAACAACAAAGAAGAATATTAATTGTACCAATTTTAAGAGTGTAAAGAGAGAAAAGAAGAAGAAGAAGAAAAAAAAAAGAAGAGAAAAAGAAATCGTAACAGATATAGTTTCAATGTGTACATGCATACACAACAAACACATATTGATAAAGAAAAGTGTGCAACTTTTGATTCTACTCATTGAAAAATGAAAGACCCTATTGGGTATGACTGTTTTTGTTTTATTTTCAATATTATTTAATAATTTTAATTAATTTCTATTTTGTCTATTTATTTAGAAATGAATTTAATCAACTTGTTGCAGAAGAATATTTAAAATTATTTGATTTTCAAGGTGATACATTAGATCGTGCTCTAAGAAAATTTGTTAAACAATTTGCCATTATTGGAGAAGCACAAGATAGAGAAAGAGTATTACATTTTTTTGCCACAAGATATTTAGATTGTAATCCAACAACATTTTCATCTATCGGTAAATTGAACTGTTTTTTCTGTTTTTTTATTGTACTTTATGTCAAAGATTTTCTGTACATATATATATATATACATATTTAAATTTCTTCATTTTAGACGCTTGCCACATGTTGACCTGTGCAATTATGTTATTAAATACGGATCTACATGATCCCGTAAGTAATTTAAAATTCTTCTTTAATTTTGTGTGTTAAATAATTTATTTGAATTGTAAAGTATGAAGTTGGACAAATTCGAAGATAATTTGAAACTGCAAATGTGACTACTATCCATTTAAAAAAAGAATGAATACGGTTGCTTTTTATATAACTCAGGAACGTTACTAGTTAGTACTATCGGCAGAATGCTGGAATTAGAAAATCTTGATATAGTGGTTTTAGATCTGTTTGAAACCAAAAATAAACATCACCACACGACTCAGCAGGCTTGATTACCCCTATCTTGACCCATTTTAGGGTGATATCCAAGGTGAACTAGCCGAAATCGGGGCTCTTGGGAAAATGCTTATAACTCTTGAACGGAACAAGCTAGAAAGCTCAGCCTTGCGTTCTTTTGTAGAAGACAGTATGACAAATGATACCCGCATAGAAGAATCAAAGTTTCTAACCCCTAACTAGGATGGTTTTCCAGAGACCTTCTGGAAAACCTCCAAAGATCTTGGCAAACCCGATGATTACTACATGCCTGGATGTCTCCAGATCTTTTCAATGCGACGGCGAAAACCCGAACTCGCTAGCTAGTAATGTTGCTGAGTTATATAAAAGCAACCGCGTTCATTCTTCTTTAAAATGGAAAGTAATATCATTCTTCGTCTTCGGTAAAATTCTTGTTGTTCTTTGAACAGCTGATGATCTTCATTCGTCATCGTTATGATAATTCGACAACTTTCATCACTCATATTTTTTCTATACCTTGACAAGAAAGAGAAAACAAAAAACAATTCCAGTGTAAAAAGTTTTTAGATGAAAAATTTCATCTTGAAAGATTAAAATTATGACGATTTGAGACAAAAATGATGAATTTTGCGATATTGACTTTTCTTTTTCTGTAAAAATACTTTTTCAAATGAGTCATTATGATTGGAAAAATTTATGCTACAAAATTGACTAAGAAATATTACATTTACATTACAAACAAATTTTTATTTTTTATTTGTTTTAATTAATTCGTTTTTTCATATTAGCGTAATTCTGAAAATGATTTGAGAAACAAATATTGACCATTTTTACTTCTATAGACAGCAAAATAAGTTTTAAATTTCGTCTTTCAAAGAAAAATATTTTCCACCAAACGTAATGTACCACTGTATTCTAAAAGAAGACCTATACATTTCGAGAGCTGTCCAAATATCGTTATCTGGATAATAGCTATACATAGAGGAAATAAGGATTTAAGAAGATAACGGAAATCACGCCTAGCAGAAAGTGGTAAAATAATGTCTCGTGACTCACTCTCATGCTGCCACNTTGTGTCTCTTATCTTCTTAAATCCTTATTTTCTATCCTTATATCCTTAAATCCTATTTATATAGCTATTATCTAGATAATGATAACTGGACATCTATGTACATTTCTGAATAGAATTTGACTAAGATTTCGCTTAGATTTTGTAAGATTCTAACAAAATTCTATAGAATCCTAATGAGATTAGGAGTACTGAAAAGTTGTAGGATTTCTGTTAAGACCTTAAACGGATCATAATAGGATTCTAGTAGAAAATAAACAGAAAGGACATTAGATTTTGTCTAAAGTGATAAAGTGATCGAAGATAAAATATTTTCTGATCTATACTACATCGATAAAAGCTGATCATGAATTATAACATTTTTTTCCCTAGGTTTTATAACAGATTTTCTAAGAATCCATAAATTCTCATACCAAATCTACTTTTTCCAATAAAAATAAATAACTTATCAAACTGCATCGCATTATGTATACCAAAAAAAAACAAAGATCATAGAGTTAACTAAGGATCCTGCACAGCTAAATTAAAATAATTGTGTTTAACAAGGAAAAAGAATAAACTGTACCCCAGAATTGTACATTTGTGATAGTAGCATTAATATCACTTACGTTCATTTCATATAAATACACGTTACAAAACGAATTTACCTATGTTTGCACAAACCGACAAAAAAAAAAACGCTCATTGACTGCACTCAACCGCGAACTAGTACAAACCGCTTGGTTAACTTCAATGAATTGGCAGTTTTTTTTCTCTAAGTAAACAATCATACCGTTGGAGTTTTAGATTGAACAGTATTTTGTTAACAGTCAGTACTCTCGGAGACAGTGGTAAAGATACTTAGACTCATTCAAAGTTCACAGTTCAACACAAGTCATGGAAAAAATTTCGAACTTTTTCAATGATTTATGTTGTTGTTTTTATATAATTGAAAAAAAAGAAAACGATTAATCGTCAATTGTCCGGAATAATACGGTCATATGGCGATTTATTTTTCAAATCGCTGTACCAAAAATAACAGCGTTTATTCGACGAATCATGGTTTCTGATAAAAATAAATGATCTAGAATACTTTTACTATCCCTGATTGAAAATCTAATCAATATACGTGTTTGAAATCAATACGTATTAATTGTTCTTCTTGTCACATGATTTTATTAATAAACAAGTAAATATATTAAATGTGAAAGATCAATTTGTTCAGTTTTTAAAAAGAAAAATCTTAGTGAAGGACTATTTTTCACCTTTTCCATATTACGGAGAAAATAGAAAGTATCCATTATGACAATATATGTTACACATCTGTGATGAACGTATCTATTCACTATGGATGTGCAACTCAACCCGTATCCAACCCGATCCAAAGTTTGGTACGGGTACGAAGTTATCGGGTACAGGTAGAGCAGTTATGGATACAGGTTCCGTTTTTCTTTTATTTACCCGAAAACCGGAAGGTTTCAGTGGAAAAGCACAAAATTTTAGTGGAAAAAGACAAGATTTTAGCTAAAATACATGAAGTTTTAAAAACAGTTAGTTGAGAACGTAATGATAATTTGGCATATCCAGTCGAAAAACAAAAGTTTTTAGCTGAAAAACGAAAAGCAGAAAATTTTTAGGCCTAAATCGGGTACGGATATAAAATTTTCAGGTCGGCTATGGGTACTCGTGCACATCTCTACTAGAGAATGTTAACGATCGTCAGTAAACTGGATGAAACTCAAGTAAGGATATTTAAGAGAGAGAATCTAGCCGTACCGTCTCCGCTTTCAGCTATAGAATAAAAAAAGTACATTTATCTGACTGAAATCGTATTCTGGCTAGAAACGGACGTTGTATCGGCTGATCAATTGATAATAGTTAGTTGCATCCAATTAAAACTAGTAATTTAGATGCAATTATCTGTCTGTTGTCGCACAATAACAGACTAAATTTTTTTCAATATTTGTTACACTTGTCTCGAAAACAATAATAGTTAAAAAGTTGAGTCTTGTATCATTTGCTAGAGGTCAATGAATAGTCTCATTGAGCAAAAATTGTCCGATTTAATTTGTAGATTCGCTCTCCTGAGCAAAACTTGAGCATAACTGAAAGTAATTCTGGCTCTTGACTGGAAGATGTAACTATTTGCGATGAAAAATCTCTTACTAGAAAATTTATTTTACTGATTTTTCTCTAACAAAGTGTAATTAAACAAAATATCATCTATTTTGGAGAAGTTAGGCTAGGACAAAGAACAAATGTAGAAAAGTGAAGCGGAATAGAAGATAAATTTGACCTATTATACTTCTAAACCAAGATTTGCTCACATTTTAAAAAAGTTAATCTTAAATTATTATAGCAATTTTTAAAGAGTCAGACAAAAATTTCGCTAATCGGTGACAAATGTTACCATTTTGCAGAATGATGTTATGAGATTAATCGATCTTTCACTTTAATTTTAATCTAGCATAAAACTTTGACATAAACAAATTGATTATTGAAGTTAAAAGGTAAATGCATTTTATACTTGTCGTTAGCTCTTTGCTATTAATCCAACAGATCTCACATATTCATTATTCTTTTTGTTTTATGAGCGAAAATGAGATATAAACTTTTCCTAATCTCTTATTGTATAGCGAAACGTTTGCTAAAGAATGCCTATACATATTCGCTAATTTTGTATTTTCTTCTTAATATATATGTAATAAGTAAAGATGAAAGTTGTAAATGATTAATAGCAAACAATCTAACAATATTGACACATCCAAAAGGATCATAATTTATTGAATGTCATAAATCAATCGAAGAGAAGAACATATTTAAACTATCATTCGTCAATATAGTCAGTCTTCGTTTAATCAGTAAATTCTTTTCTTTGACTATTGTAAAACATGATACCGGCACAAACAGTTGCTATAACATGGATTCTTCACGTAAGTTATATTCACGAATGTAATATCCAATATCTTATTCAAACTCAACTAAGCTTGTTCTTCTAGTTATTGAGAATTTTTAGCAATAAAAAATGAGAACGATATAAATTATCTCTAATAATTGCTTAGGATTTTACACTAAAATTAGAAATAATATTGAAACGATCACGATTTTTATGTAATTTAATGGTGTTGTTAGTGCTCGAATAAAACTGATGCCACTTTTTCTTCCTAAAAGAGATTCGATGATCCTCAGTTAGAAGTGTCTCTAGTAAAAATATTAGATATTACTGCATATCCCAATCGTCGAAAAAAAGTCTAGTATAGCCCGATTCATCTAGATTTTTACTCAATTGCAACTATTAGGTAATGACAGTGGAAATCTAGTAATCGATCGATTGCCAGATTTCTCCTAGTTGCAACTATCGATTTAATTATTGCTAGTTACGCATGTAGACGCATCTAGTTAAAAGTCCCTTTTCCAACTAGTAATCTAGATGACAACTAGTCGTGTATCGCCCGATTACAGACGAAATGTATCTAGATTTTTCTCATAGATGATGTTTGCTACGATACATTAGGACATTTTCCTCAATAAAAGGTTCAAGTCACTCGGATAAGCTAAAGCTGTTATTGTGCAACCTATCGTACTTCAGATACGTAGAAGAGATCACAATAGCCTTTGTATTCAAAATGATAATTTACTAAAAATGTCATTTTTTTTTTAAGTAGATACGCGTTTTCCAAGAACATATTAAGTGTGTCTATTTGACAAATGACTATACTTTCTCTATTTTTCTTCAAATATTTATATAGTACCTAATTGCTAACAAGAATATGTTTAAATTTAGTGTACATAAAATTTGAGATTAAAATAATCTATAGTTGCTAAATAATTGTCTACTTAATAAAATAATTTTATTTTGTATTTTTATTTAGAAAAATCCGAAAAAGATGAAATTTGAAGAATTTAGTGATAATCTAAAAGATTTAAATGATGGAATAGATTTTTCCAAAGATTTATTAAAATCTTTATATAATGCAATTAAAAGTGAACCATTGATGAATCAAACGTAAGTAGAAATTTTTTTATTATACCTACTTGTTATATAAAAAACGTGACTTTTTGTTCTCTCGAAGAACAACATTATTTAATAGTTTTTCACCTTCTTCATCACTTTGTGTAACAAAAAATTGAAAAAGATAATACATACAGGGTAATAGGTTATGGTCATACGTATATGAAACAGTCAGAGATAGGCGAGAGAACAATTTTTTTATTTTTCCGTTCTCGCGGTCTATGTCTGGAGAACATATTTCGGCTTGCCCATAGGTAATACGGTGACGCATTTTCAACGTCCACGCTTATTTTCTTAAACTTGTAAGCAGGAATAAAAGCGAGTGTTACATTATTTTACAGATCTCGATGGCTACTATAAGAGATGTAAAAAAGGTTTGATGTATGACCTATCGTTCAAATACTGCAGCGTTTATATGGCCAGTAATGTGATGACATTTTTTTAACCGTTTTCTGTCATCGCGTTACGGTTTTCTTCGTTTTTATTTATTTAATACAGATGAAATGAGCTAGTTTTAATATTTAAAAACTATTACAATCTGTAGAGCAAACAATTTTCTACAACCTGATATAATTGTTGGATTTTCACCTGCTCTCGTCTTCATGCTTTTAAACACATTTTTCACATATCTCCAAAATTCATCTTTTGGACTATTTGTACAACAGCTGTATTTTCATAATGAATCAATTTTCAGAGCCGAGACACTTTTTATTTTATAGAGAGAGATGTTTAATCTATTTAATTATCTATTTGGAATCTTAGATTATTTTGTAGTTTTATTGCACGAATTTTTTGAAAAAGAGCAAAAAAAGGGTACTGTTAGTCGGACAAGCCATATTTTAACATAAATTTACCATATTTTTATTTCTGTCTGAAGAGCAGCATTTATCGGTTGACAATAGTTCATTTACGTATTATATGAACTTCTTCTATTCGAGTAATAAGATAAGATGTTTTTTATATTCTAAATATTTATGTTATGATCTAAATTCTTTCAAGAAATACTCTTAACTTTCGAGACTAGTTTTTCTTGGAAGCGAGAAACTTTGACTAAGAATTTGTGATCGTCATATTTTTTTATAGACAAACAGAACTTAAAACTTTATCTGTATCGAAGACTGAATTTTCTTGAGGCCAAGATCGTTGACAATTTTACGTTGATGTTACTTTTAGATGTATTACAGTTTAGAATAAGTACGTCTGTTAAATTTTACTCAAAATTTCTTCATTATTCATCATTTCATATGTAATATGATACGTGTACCAGATAATTGTTAAATACATTTTTGAAATTGAGTAACCTGAACCGTAGTTTATATTTCATGTAATTTTTTTTTCTGAATTATTCATTATTTTATTAATAGTTTTATTCACTGTAACAGCTTAGAGTCTAAGACACATTTCTTTTAATAACATGTACTACAGTTGGATTTAATTGTACATAATTCTCACATGTTTCTATTCTCATCGTGTCTCTGTCTCATCAAATGAACAATCTATCTATCTATCTATATATATATTTTAATCGCTTCTAGCTCTTTTAAAGTGACGTTTATTTTATTATTTGTTGTGAACGGATTGTGAATAATAAATATTTGTAGATATTGAATAGAATGATTAAATTACATAGAGCGAAGAGATGACATTTATGATTTATTTTTGGAAGTGAGAGAGAAGAAGAAAAGAGACTGATGTTCAATTTATGTATATAATTCATACAAAAAATTTGTTGTTAATTGGCAATATTTAACGTTAATGATCAACTGTTTAGTCTCTCTTCCTCTCTTTCGCTCTCTCATCATAATCATCATCAGTTATGTAATAAAACTAGAAATGTCATCACTTATAAAAAAAAAGAAAAGGAAACCTAATTTATAAGTCAGTATATAATAGTAGAACTTTATTCTAATATTGACTAGCTATAGTAAAGTTTCGGTAAAATGCTTGTCTACTTTAGAATGTAAAAGAAAAACCTTTTATCAATATAAATAGTACAACTTTCTTTTTAAGATATAATTTTCTAAGACTTTTAAACAAAAACAGTAATTATTTGTTATTATTTAATGTTTATCAAAAATCTGTCATGTATTAATTTTGAAAAATAATTATAAGTCTGTCAGAAAGTACGACAGAAGTGAAAAGTTGTAGTAAAATGTGTTTTATTAATATGGGTCAAGTTAAGCTCTTATCAAATACACTGCAACACAGTGGACATGTACCAGAAAAGTGATACGAAAGTTTCTAAACACTCTTTTTATAGGTTTTCGTATGTGCTCTTTTCAATAGCATGGTTTTCAAACTTGCAAAGTGTATTTGTACAGGTTTTCTAGAGATCCGGCCTCTGGAAAACCAGTACGAGCATACTTTGGAACTTTGAAAATCATCCCTCTGGAAAGAGTGTATACGAAAAAAGCGTGTTTATAGACTTTCGTACCGCTTGTCTACCACATGTCCACGTGTCAAATCAAACTTGCTGTGTCCCTACGCTAAAACTGTCGCATTACACTGGATCGAAACATTTTTTTGTTCAGAAATACTTCATATACACATCATTCGATGTAGTTTTTTTTTTGCGCTGATTCTGAATATCATATTAGTTTTCAATAAAAATGTTTCTCAGCTGAAAAAAATAGATTTTACCTAAAAAACCTGTAAGTCAGTCCTCAAGATCGTTTGGGCGAATATTCTATGTGTACTATTAGGGGATGAACATTTAATTTGAAGTTCCGCATTCATTATACTGGATATGCCTTTTCGGAAAACACTTTGAGGAAAAAAAAAATTAGTTTTTTTTTGCCAAAGTGCCAGAAAGTTTTTTTTATGAATCAGTAGAGCAAAAGGTCTAGTCTTAGAATATCTATGATTTTTTTAATAGAGTTAATCTGTTTCGAAAACAAGGTCTTCTATTTTTGCATCACTGAATTTTTTTTGTTAAGATTTTCCTTATATATTTTCTGACTAACTATGGCACCTGGAACAAAACTATTTTTGACATCAAATAGAGCATATTTTAAACTATATTTGCCACTATTTGAATTTCGAAAAAGTGCACTTTCATTTTTTCACCTAATGTCCACGTGATTCCCATTGTGTGCAACAATTAACAATAAATTTACATTGTAGAACGAGGCAAAAGCATATGATTTAGAGGTCAGAGAAGAAGAAAAAAAGTTAATTTGCCTTATTTAATCTTTCATTTTTGTCAATATAAAAAACAACTGTTTGTTAATTGTTGTATTATTTCGATTTGGGTATATGCATATGTGTCGTTCATTTTACATTCTATTTTATTTTTATCGTATTTCCTTCCTCTCTTCTTTGTCTATATTTGCTTCTATCTATTCTCATTAAGATTGGAAAAATTATTATTATAAGTGATTCCCTATTTCAAGGTGGGTGGGTGTAAGTGTTAATGATGATACTTATACTCCACCTCAGCGTGTTTGATGAATATTAATCTGTAAATAATTTCAAGTGGTGATAGATAGCATTTAAGATAAATATATTAACTATGGTGTTTTACGCTTTTTGTTTTTTTTTTGACAATTATGTCAACTAGATGATACCGTTTCTTCTTTTTTCTTTCTGCTTTTCGTTTTCTTTTTGCTTCTCTCTCTTCCTTTTTTTATATGTAATAATATAATCTGCCTATACTGTGTTGTCTATTACTGATGTTCCGTTATCGTAACAAATTATGTTATTATATGAATGTCATATAGAGACATTCAGAAACATACACAGTTAAGACATATTAAATAATTGCATATGATGTTTAGAAAAAAAAGTTCTATAAATCTTTAGGGACAAATTTTAGATTATTTTTCTGACACCATTCTCATTTCATAAAAGAAGATACCAAACAAAAAGTCATTAGAGGTAAACAGTTTTCTTTCACTTTAAATAATAGGCCTGCCAGGATTTTGTTTTTATCTCCGATTTCTTTCATCATTCTGAGTCAATCAAAATTCTTTTTTTATTGAGAAACATACATCTTGAAATTCTCTATAAAAATAGAATTAGTTATTTTACTACAAAATGGATAGATGGAAGATTACACACATAAATGTGTTTAGGAAAAAAGGTGAGAATAATACAGTTCTACGTGTGTAACAAGAACCCGAATCTGGAACATTTTTCCACGTTCAACTCTTCAGCAACTTTGGCAGAAAACCATTGTTCGTTTTTTATTAGAAAAATATCTCGTTACAAGTAAACAAAAGCAATACTATTCTTCTAAAGTGTACAATAACAAACACCGAATCCTTTTACTTCTTTTATTTGTTTATGTTTTACATTCCTTGTCTTAATTTGATCGTGTAATTACGCATCAAAATCTCCCATTATGCGAAACTGTAAATACAACTCTTTTGAGCGTACATAGAGAACAGAGAGTAAATCTTTTTCTTTCGTGCTGGTGTTTGCCCAGTCAGTCATAGTCATTCCAGAAAAGCGTAGAAAACTCTGTTTACGAAAACTTTTACGCGTTTAGCAAGTTTCGAATAACAACGCGCAAGAAGCTGCGAGTATGTAAAAATAAACCGAAGAAACACGCGTGTAAAGTCTTTGTTTCCATGGCAACGTGCGTTTTCTGCGGTTTATTTTTACACACTCGCAGCTTCTTGCCCGTTATTATTCGAAACTTGCTAAACGCGTAAAATTTTTCATAAACAGAGTTCCCTACGCTTTTCTGGAATGACTATGACTAACTAGGTGGGGAAAATAATTTTCCAAGAACACGATCGAACTTATGTTCACAAAAAGTCAAACACGCAGGACTACAGAAAATACATACTTGCATTGTACCGACGTTTATAAAACGATCTGATAGAAGTCAAACTTGACAAGTTTTCTGTTATAACGAAAATAAAGATAATATCAAGGTTTTTTCTGCTTATGTTCACCTCTCTTAACCGCTTTTTACGGAAAATATTTGACTAGAATTCACTCTATTCAATCTTCAGTCAGACGCTATCAGGTCAGCAAAAAACAAAGTATTTGCAATTTTCTTCAAAAATATAACGAAAATTTAACCTTTTCCTTCGGCATATTGAAACAAAGGAAGTTATTATGCTTTTTACATTTGGATATAAATAGATATAATGTTTCTTCTCAAAATAAACAAATTCGCAATTCGAAACATTTGATTTTGTAAAAGTCATGAGAATTTTACACAATGATACGACAACGAATAAAAAAAATAAAATATTCTTATTCAATCAGTTGTGTCTGCAACATAATTTTAATCAGGAATAGGAGATAAAAATTTTCAATATCTTCTGAATGAATATAGTTAGATTTCTTTCATATGTCGACAAGCAAAAGAAATGAAATTGGATAAATGGTGTTTTTCGAGTTAGAAAGTTAATCGTTAACTAAATCTCTTAGTATTTTTCGTGTAATCTTTTATTTATACACATTGTAGTAAAACAAAAATTCAAAACGATGAAAAAATATCGGAGATATAAGCAAAATGCTAAGCGAATTTTTATTTTTTAATCAACCAATGATCGTTATACTTGACATAAATTTATGTATGGAAAGACGATTTTTTTCTGAAGTTAGAAAAGTTTCTGTTCATTGTTTTATTAAAAGACAGCGGTTCAATAAACTCAAAATATTCACAATGATCATTTTTTACTTGCTCTATTTTGACAAGATAGATTTTTTAACTTGACAAGATCAAGTATACGTGTGCATGCTAAATAATAGAGTGGATTCTTTCTTTGTTTGCACGACCACTTTTTTTTCCTTTCTAACTGATATGTCTATTTTTTATAAAGCACTTTTTACTTTATTAGACCTTGTACGCCTTTATTCGGAGTATGATAGTTTAAACCTTGAAGAAAATCATAGGTTCAGGTCGCTTTGTTGGCAATATGCATATCTTGGTGACAAATACTATCATCGACTAAATAGCGATCGTAATTCTACATTAAAAACGTATATTCAATAATTACATTTGTACTAATATACTGTAAAAGAACATTTTTTTTTTGTGATATGATTAGTACGTTAAGTATATACAGGAAGTTTATTGATTCTTCTTATTTTAGGCAAAAAAAGCAAAGTCTATAATGCTCTCTTTTGTATCAAAGATAGATTACATATATGCTCTACATCTTGAAAAAAAAGAATTTATTTCTTCAGTAACAAAAAGTCTTGCTTAGAATCTTTAACATCAAGTAGCGTATGCTATTTTGAGTTCTTAGTTTGTCTTTGTGTAAAATAAAATTCGAAGAGAAACAAAAAATACTAAAAATTAGAAATTTTGACTACAGTCTCACAACATTAACGGTTTCCAATTGATTGTGGTTTATAAATAAAAAAAAAGACGGAAATTTTGAATTTATAAATAACTGACAAAAAAAATGCTATGAGAATTGTGAACTGTCAACTTTCTTGAGTAGGACATAAGAGTTTTAGTTAGAAGAGGAAGTGCATACGCAGTTTAAAAACGGAATTTTTTTTTTCAAGTGCCACTTCGTCGTGTGTAGGTGTGTGTACACTACTTTTGCGTGTTTTTCTTCTTGTCATTTTTTTATTTTTACGATTAAGATTAGTTTGGCGTTAGTATCAAGATTATACTAAGGGTAAATAAGTGTATTTGATTCATAAATGTTAGTTACTTCTTTAGAAAATCTGACTGAGATGCTGCTAATTGTTCACTTCTTGAAGTAATTAGTATCACAGAAGATTGATTTATAAATCGTTGATACATCTATAGATAGATACATTTATTATTATAAAATGCTTATATGCTTCATTTAATGACCTCGTTATTTAGATCATAATCGGGTTGAAAAAAATGTTTCAATTCTTCTTCTCTCATTTCTTTTTGCTGAATATATATGAAAAGAATAAAAAAGAAAAAGAAATGAAAAACGACTAATTTATATATATAGAATTACCGGTATATAAACATCTTTGAATCATTAATAGACATACATTATTTCTAATGATGACAGTCTACATTCAGTATACTTTGACCTTCTGATACGAACATGTCTACCGTGTTGCATGTCATACGCGTTTAATCAATATATATATATGAATGTTTAATAATTCACCTGATTAATAGAATTAGAATCCCTAGTTAACGAACATAACTGAAAACTATCTGAAATACATTGTATTCATAATAAAAATAAGAAATGATCTTTTCTTTTTTCTTTTTTTTTTGAACTACCATTCAATAATATAATGGAAATTTTTTTTTATTTTGTTACAAAAATAAGTTTAAAGTAATCGATCTTTTTTCTTTTTTTCTAATGCGAGAAATCGTTCAATTTATTTAAAAATTTAACGTATCATTTCCACAAAAAATGTTCACTTTTTTTGAATGAGCTTTTGTCACCAGTGACTACGTAGTCAAAACAACGGTAAATTACCAGTGCATCTCGGTGGTATCAATGTCTTACAAGAGTCATTTATTTACAGAACCACTAAGCTTTGGAACGAACTTCCCTATGACCTTCGGTCACTGACACGATTTCATAGTTTTAAAAACAAACTAAAATTACCGCACGAATTAAAATTTCGACTACCTGTGGCCGAGGACCGCATGGCTGACATTGAATTTTTTCGTTGCAGAGTTAATTTCAGTCAATTAAACTCTGACCTCGCTAAGTACCATTTAGTTGAAGAATGTATGTGTACATGTGAGTTTCTCCACGAAACCATTTCTCACTTCTTTCTTACCTGTTCTCTTTTCACTACGGAAAGATCTCCAATGTTAAATATCTTTAAGACAGTGTTAAAGGTCAACATCATCCAGTTAAACCATATTCTATTTAGGGATTCAATTTTTTCTTTTATGACTAAACGTGACTTATTCATATTATATGATAGTGTATTAGACTTCATAAAAACGACAAAACGTTTCCGTCCGTGATGTGGTTATATTTGACCTAATTTATTGTTCTGTAGTAGACACGTTCAGGTTGACATTGATAGAGATCTGTTGAAAATATTCTAATATGATAAAAGAGTCCTTAGAACTTATTCTCTCTTGTCCTAGGATAGTTTACTGTTCTTTCTCTAATATATTATCACCTATTTTTTTTTTCTTCTCTTTTTACCAATTTAACTGTATTTCTCTTTTGATCAAATTGTCACAACATGTAATGAGCATAGCTCGATTTGTTATTTTAATAAACTTAGTTTAAACTAAAAATAGTGCTAGAATAAGAATGACACCACTTTTTCTATTCCATTTATCTTATTTATGATAAGATACGATTTGTAACATTGATACGTGAATCCATTTGAAAAATCTCAATCAAATAATAGATTCTCTCAATCGAACAAAACAAAAATGTAAAGAATTCTATAACTTGTATCAGTGTATTCAAACATTTTTTTAAGCAACGTTTGTTTAACCTTGAAATATAGTTAGTTTCTTTCCGATTTTTGATCGGAAACAATTGTTACATTTCTAACTATTAGTTCAATGTTCAAACTGTTTACATGAGAAAAGTCGATAGAAATTTTTCATGTGGAAAATTTCTTTTGCAATTAGATTGTAAAATAAGAATAAGAAGAATAAGAACAAAAAAGAAAAAAGAAGAAAAATCGAAAAACTTTTTAACTAATTTTATTACATTCTTTGTAGAATTCTGTGAAACGTGTTTGTCTGTCATTTTGGGCATATCAATAATGATTATGAGTATTTAAGCGAAAATGTTTGTCGGTTTTTTGTTGTTGTTTTTTTTCTTCGTTTAACATTGTTTACACGACTAGAAAAATACAACGGAACTAATGACACGTATGTTAAGAGATAATGATTCAAACGTTTTTTTTTTTTGTCACACATATACGTACAAACCTATAGAAGAAGAAGAAGAAGAAAAAAAATCACATATACATACACCAAGTATCAAATTATTTTGATCATAGAACATAATGTTGATAATAAATTATCAACACGAGATGTCTACAATATCAATTATATAGTTTTTTTGTTTTTTTGTTAACATGTGAATCATAACAGATATTAATTTTAAAAATAAATTACGAATAGAAAAAATATGTATAGAAATAAAATATCGAATAGATACATGTTATGTGAATGATGATAATTACATGTGTATGAGTGATGATTTTTTTTGAAAATGAAAGGCATCGATGACAGTTTTCTTTTTCTCTTTTTCTTTTCCTTTTTCATCATAATTACTCTGAGATAATTGTTTTTATTACAAGTTATTCTTTATTCGATTTGTATTTAACAAATCAAGAGATCATGACAAATATCCGAAATCATGTTACAATTTGTTCAATTTTGACTAGTTAATAAAATAATAGAATAATACATTTTATTATTCTAAAATAATAATGTTAGAGACCTTTTTAGTTTTGTTTTTGTCTCGTATTTATATTTAACGGTAAATAAGAGTTAGACCATGAAGGAGAATTGAATTGGTAAGAAAGAGCAGTCCTTCTTTTTTGTTTTGTTTCTTATTTCTCATGGAATATTATGTGTTTGTGTATAAATTTTTCTAGTTAAACAAAAGGTTAAACACATCATATTTTGTTTTCTTTATTTTAGTATTGATTCTGAAGACTATAATATTGCACGCTCACTAGGTGGTCCAGCTCATGGTTATAGTAATTTTGTTAATCCATTTTTAGAGGTAGATATTTTTTATTGCAAAAAAAAAACGAAGAAAAACAATAATAATAAAAAAAAGATTTATTTTATATTATATTCAAAATTTATCTTATAATTCTTTTTCTTTTGTATTTTAGATTCCTGATCCAAGTAAAACTGTTGAATATATGCAGGGTTATGTGAATAGAAAATGTTGCATTGAGCCAGATGGAAAACGAAGTATGTCTAAATTTATAATGTTTTTTCTTTCTTATTCTACTTAAATTGAATATTATTTTATTTTTTTTTAAGCTCCATTTATGCGTCGTAGTTGGAAAACATTTTATGCATCACTCAGGGACATGGTGCTATATTTACACAAAAATGATTCTCAAACGGATACAAAAATAATTTTATGTGATAATTCAATTTCAAATGCTATTCGTGTACATCATGCACTAGCAACAGAAGCAAAAGAATATACAAAAAAACAACATGTATTTAGATTGAGAACAGCTGATTGGGCTGAATATTTATTTCAAACAAGGTAATAAATAAACCAAAAAAAAAAGTTTATTATTTATAAACAAATAATTATTATTTTTTATAAATTTTAGTGATCATGAACTATTAAAAAAATGGGTGAATGCAATTAATTTTGTAGCAGCCACATTTTCATCACCTCCACTTCCACCAGCCATTGATTCAACATTTCGATTTCAACGACCATTATTACCATCTGTTGAAACAAGATTTACTATAGTAAATATTACATAAAAAAAAAAAAACGATTAAATACATACATCGTCATTTTATCTTAAAATTTTTTTATTTTTAGTTTGAACAATTTGAATTTATTTCAAATCAAATAACGGAAATTAAAAAACAATTACAAGAACTTAAATCACCAGAAAAACAAGTAATTGTACAAAGTGGTAAACAACGTGAAATTCTTGATAATAAAGATAAAATTGATTATCTTGAATATGAAGTAAGTCATTTATTTTATTTTTTTTTCTCTTATTAAAATATATCTCTTTTGTTTTTATTTTATAAATTACAGTTAACTCGTTATGAAACTTATGCTGATCGTCTTCATCAACATTTTGAAGAATTAAATCTCGATCATACTGGCTCTCCAAAATTTATTCATTCAACTCTTATTACAACTTCATTTAATAATAATAATAATAATAATCAAAATGCTCATTATCATCATCATCAACATCATCATCAAAATAATAATAATAATTCAAATTCAACATCTGTTTCATCTGCTTCTGATAATGATGGTAGTGGAATTGTTAATCAAATTGTACCCTATAATAAATCGGAAAATTTTACCGGTCCAATAGAGCCAATGTCTTTTTATCATCAGACAAACAATTCTTCAAATCGTTTTCAACAACATCAGATATTACCCACACGAAATACGACTAATCGTTCACATAATCAATATGCACAGTATCAAAAAAAACCTTATTATCAACAGAATAACAGGTACTCCTATTTAATGGCCGTCCAAAATAATCCAATTATGAAAGAGCACATGTTATAATTTTTTTTTTTTCAAATATGCATACACATTTATTCACTCTCACTCATTTCACTCATTCTTTTCACTTTATTCATTCGACTCACACATACCCATACGTATATATCTCTATGAAGCATAGTGTCTTCCTTGCAACAAAATTGAGCATGTGCAATCTTGTCTGATACACACACACACACACATTTATACACGTATTTACAATTCATCTTGCTTGCTTCACTCGTTCTTTATTTGTCTATTTTGCTTTTGACTATGAAATACATTTTTAAAAAACAATAAAATGTTGTATTTCTTTTTTCTTCTTCTTCTTCTTCTACAGTACGTTTTAGATACTGTTGGGTTTATTTAACGATTTCTATCATAAAATCTTCTTCTTAAAATTGTGTATATTTTTGAAACAACAAAACAAACAAAAACAAAAAGTTAATCTTGTTACAAATTTTATCATCATTTTCATTTTCTTTTTTGGATAAAGATAATGAAAATTTGAGACTAATTTCGACGAGTTTTCACACTTTTTTTTTTGGAAGACATAATAGTACATGATATCAATCTTCTTTGAAAAATACAGGCTTTACACAACATTCAACATTAATATGAATATTTCAAATTAGTTTACACGATTACAAATAAGTTTTTTAGTATCGAATTTCATTTATTTTTATGCTTGTTACAATATCAATTTGATTTTTTTTTCAACAAATTTCTTATTGACCAATAAATAAAAATATGTCTTTCTTTACCTAAAATAATTTGATTTTTTTTATGTAACATTTATTCGTCGTGTACTCTTCTTAGTTAAATATATTAAATTCAAACTCGATTGCTCAACAAAACATTTTATTAAAATTATTGAAAGAAAAATATGCTCAGTCGTTGCTTTTTGTTTTTGTTTTTCAGTTTAATTCGCGTTTGAGATATATATATATATATATAAATATATATTTTACTTTTGTATTACCCTAACGCTCGTTCGCTACACTATTATTCCTGTTGCATTTGCATTTTGTTTGTTTTCTTTCTTGTATGATCTGAAAATGATTGTCTCTTCTTCTTGTTGTTTTATTTCTTTATATTTTTATGATTTATCAAAACTAACTTCTTTTTCTTTGTACTATCATCATTTACTTGCCACAAGCTTTTGTTTCTGTTGTTGATTATGTTGATCACCGGTGTGCAAAATGTAATATGTCGTTTTTTTTTTTATCCTTTTTGTTCTATTTTTTGTTTTTGTTCTTGTTTGAGTATGAGATGTGCAGTTGTTGGAGAGGGACATGTGTGAATTATGTTATTGTTGTTTCAATTTTTTATCTTTGAATAAAAAGAAAAACGATGTTGATCAACTAACTAATATTCATTTGCTAATTTATACACACACACACACACTGGCTTTTTTCTTGAAACTATTGCACTCTAACATGTGCATGACTAACACGCTCAAACTCATTTGCGCTTTAATTATTGCTTTTTGGGTTTTTATATGAATCTGTTCTGTTTTTTTCTTTTATCCCTAGTATTTCATCAACAATGACTGAAGAGAAAGTGAATACTTCAAATGAAAATTGTGAATTAAATTTAAATTTTATTCCAGGTGCTAGTGCAGAGATCTTACCACCTCATAATATTTCAGTTCGAAGAACTCGTTTATAAAATGGATGCTATTCTGTATATATGTATGTGTGTATTTGCATGATCTCTAATTTTATTGGTTAATGATAGTATTTCATGTTTGTATTAAGTAATAAATGATTTATGTTGTATCTAGTCAGAATTTGATTTTTTAATCGAATTAGATATTGTAAATATTTTTCTTTTTTTCTTTTGTTTTTATTTAATTGATATTTTTTGTCGAGAGATATTAATTTTGAGTTATTTCGAAGGAAAATTAGATTATTTACTATTTGATAAAATAGCAGAAAATTGGGGCAAGAAATATATTTCTTTTGTCATGATAAGTGTAAATGCAATAATAAATATTGTATTGGAACATTGAATCAATAGGAAGTTTTGAATATTAGATAAATATGGTGCTTCCTATAATGCATATGAACCCTAAATTAGAGTTATGGAGAAGTGTAGGATTAGAAATTTTGCAAAAAAACTCTTTACATGTAACGAAGTTTTTTGAGAAAGCTTGGAAAAGCTGGCAAATATCAATTTTTTCAAAAGTATATAGCAGTCGGAGCGCCAAGCCTTAAATGCATAATAGAATAACGTTGTCCACAATTCAGAATCTTAAATTTTGCCCACATCATGTCTGAAAGATTGTATTTCAATCAGAGAACTTATTCCTAAAATATTTTCTTAATCAAGCGCTTCCTTCTTTAGTAGGTCGTCTATGCAAAAATGTCATATACAGGAGAGTAGTACATGGAAACGACATTCAATATGGTTGATTTCTGTGACTTTATTGCGTTATCAATAGGCTCATTTTTTTAGCCAATCGTCACATGCATAGACGACCTACTAAAGAAGGAAGCGCTTGATTAAGAAAATATTTTAGGGATAAGTTCTCTCATTGAGATTCAGTCTTTCAGACATAATGTGGGCAAAATTTAAAGTTTGAGGACAACGTTATTCTATTATGCGTTTTAGGCCTGGCGCTCTGACTGTAGTGTCAGCCCATGGCCGGCGGAAGGGGCGGACGACTGCCCGGGGCGCTACAAAGCAAGAGGCACCTTGATTTCCTAATACTGATCAGGCGCATTTCAACAGGTGCAGACAGAAGGGGTAGGAGCGTATTTTTCGGGAAGGGGTGGGGGTGCAAAAATAAATTTTCGCCCGGTATCATAATTTTGCTCGGGCCGGCCCTGTGTCAGCCTAGTTTTATTGAATATTAGGAAAATTCTATCTACATCGAAATCAATTAAAATGTGTTGATAACCTTAGGATATACTTACTGTGAGTTGTCCTGCATCATAAAAGTGCGATCGATTTTCAACAGCAATAGGTTTTCTATTGAAACATCACTAAAAAGCGAAGGTTCGACTTATCGATGCTTCTGTTTCGACTTTATCTACACCTAACTTTAAGAAAAGAATACGTTTAAAAAATTCAAGTATTTTGCCGCCAAACTGATTATATATTTTTATACTACTATATACGTAGATTGTTAAACCAATGAAAAAAATTCAATTTCGCGTCTATTTATAAAGACATTTGAATTCAAAAATGTTGTATACATAAAACGTTATTTCGAAAATGTTTATTGTTCTTTCATTCAAATACTAAGTACCGACTTTTTCTATTATGAATTTTGTAATCTCTACATTGTTCATTTCCTCATAAATAATATATTAGGATCATGTTGTCATGTCACTACAATATTGTTTAAAACCCATTTAATTTCAAATGATATTAATATCAAAGATTATATTGAAAAATTAACAAAAGATACAAGATTTGATGATATTTTATTAAATTATGCAGAACTATTGGATCATATTGATGTTAATCATGAAAATAATGATGATGATGCAAATAATGACATGGACAAATTTGACAATGAGAAAGCGATATTTCTGCTAATGAATTTCGGCGAAATGAAAATACAAAGAAAAGAACAATGTCAAATAAATCAAAGCGTGAAGTAAAAGACTTTGTCTCAAATACGATGATATATTTTGGTTTAATTTTGTGAGGAAATGGACAATACATGTGGGAAACAATGTAGGCATTACAAAATTCATAATAGAAAAAGTCGTCACTTAGTATTTGAATGGAAGAGCAATACACATTTTCGAACGTTTTATGTATGTAACATTTTGAATTCAAATTAGGGGTGGCGCTTTACCGTTTCTTTACAGGTAACGCAGTAACGCATGCGTTATTGCGTTACTAGTAACGAGTAACGCATGCGTTACTGCGTTACCAGTAACTACTAACGAGATGCGTTTATTTTTCATAGCTTTTGTAGCGAGTAACGCAGCGTTACTTTAACGCTTTTTTGCGTTACTTTTCTAGTAACGCAGTAACGCTTGCGTTACTCGTTACCAGTAACGCAATAACCCATGCGTTACTCGTTACCAGTAACGCAATAACGCTTGCGTTACTCGTTACTAGTAACGCATAATATAGTAACGCTTTAGTCGCATTGTGTCCGGAAGGTGATAAAACAATACATTTTCGGTTGTTCGTCACTCATACGGTGATATTTGAAAGCGTTGCTTTACTCAGTAAAGTAACGCATCAGTAAAGAAAATGTGCCACCCCTAATTCAAATGTCTTCATAAACAGACACGAAATTGAATTTTTTTCATTGGTTTAACAATCTACGTATTCAGTAGTATAAAAATATATAATCAATTTAGTGGCAAAATAACTGAATTTTTTGAGCGTACTCTTTGTGTTTAGAAACAGGCTTCTTTTTATCAGATTGTTGGAAAATCTGATCGGTACTAAAGTCTATGTTCGGTATGCATAAACTTATTTATAACACCCATGAAATTATTAACTCGTAAATACTTCGTATATAGAAATTGTTAAACGTTACAAAGATCCATTGGTTAGTTCTAATAATTTATGTACATATGTAGTTTTATATTCTGACACTTTCTGAACCGTCTAGTTTAAAAGCTCGCGATACATTTCAAAGAGTCTAGTTTTACTCATGAGGAACGGCTAATACACGGAATGAATATTAAATTTGTACCATTCATCATTGTGTTACATTGTGCAACAGAAGAGTTGTCTTACTCGAAAAAGTTCTTTCATAAGTTAAATTAACGTAGGAAATGTATAGAATTGATGAAAGAAACTTGTTTAAATAATACAGTATCAAAAGAATTACCGAATAAATATTAAAAATAATATTGAACAACAATTTTATTTTGTATTCTTCTCTACAATGTAGTTTTAATACATTTTATAAAGCAAGAGTATCCTGCTTGATATGAAAATATGTCGGTCTTCTATTTAGAAGTTTTGCTCTATCCTATAAGAATGCGTCAGAGTTTTTTAATAATCACGAAAATCGTACAATGATCAATTATTATATTCTGTTGAACTTGATTGGAAACAATATTGATCTTCATGTATACATAAGACCACCACAGTACATCAATAAGCGTGGAGTTTAATGTGACCCTAGGGCATATTTAAATATCGTCTGCTTATTAGACAGTCGTTATCAATCATATCTTATGTTACGAGGTTAAATGATACAACAAGATCAATAATACAACAAATATTTTCTAAAGGGTCAGATTCCAATAAAAAATCTCTCTTGAAGCGAGAAAAAGTGATAAATTAACAGTACGAATAACAATTATTTATTGACGCATCTTTACATGTGTGAACACAAATCTTTTTCGAAAATAGAGGTCTCAGAAGTTCTCGAAAAATCTATTCTTAATCTGCAATAATTTAGAAAGAAACATATTGATTTTTTTACAGGGATAAATAATACCACAGGCGATATATTTTCTTCTCTTCTCTTGTATATATGGATCAAACCACGTGTTTCAACGAAATATTAAACTCAAAAAGGGGTGAGACTGAGTCCCATCAATGTTGACAGTTGATAGTTCAAAATTTAGACGGTTGATTCTATTTTCATTCTGTTGTTCAAAGAAATAGTTTCTTTTCTTTTATTTGTTAAACAGAATGAAAGTCAACGTTTCAAGTCAACAGCTCAAAAACATTAGGAAGACGATGGATAAAGTGAAGTTCATACAGTTACGCTTAAATGAGAAAGAAATCACGTTTTTTGCACGTTTTAAAATATCTCTCCAACTAGCGATCAGAATGATCCACATTCTATTTTTTCTCTTTCTCTGTTTTAGATAATGACAACATCAAAATACTTTACTAAAAACACGTCATCATCTACCAAAAATTCTGAAGAGCAAACTGTTGATAATCGAATAATTAGATATCTTGAAAGTTTAGAGCCTCCATTAACAATTGAATTACCAAAAAATGTTGAATGGCTCTATCCATTAAAATCTGCTAAAACTCGTCAGACAATGTCAGAATTTTTTCATAATTATTATTCCGATTCAAATAAACGTATTCTAATAATTGGTATTAATTGTGGACGATTTGGTGCTGGTATTACTGGTGTACCATTTACCGATCCCATACGTTTAAAAACTGTATGTAATATTGATAATCATTATCCACAAAAAGCCGAATTATCATCGATATTTGTTTATCAATTTTTTGATGCATACGGTGGTGTAGAAAAATTTTGTCAACAATTTTTTATCGGACAAATGTGTCCATTAGGTGAGTAAATATAAATGGACGCTATTATTTTCAACTCAAATTTCAAATTCA